TACAACCGTACCTGGGACATACAACCATATCTTTTTAGCATGGCACCCCCACTTTCTGTGTTATTCCTGGTCCAAGCCATTTGGGACGGTCGTATCGTAACAATCTTTGTTCTTAGTCTGTAAGCAAATTGTGCTGAGTCAGTTCATTCAGGTGCTATCATGCTTCTTGGCGTAACGTATTTCAATGCTCTGCCTATTGCGGCCATTCTTTTCGTGCACTTAGTAGTAGGAAGTACGAAGCGCCCTACCATTCACTAGAATACAGTAGAACACAATACCTGTTCAGACCTTTTGGGCATACATAGTAGGGTGGTATCTGTTTTTGACGCTTTGAAATGATCCTTTTAATCATTACTCTGCTGTTGCGGAATGCTATCCCATGGAACTTGTTCTTACAATGAGGAGCAAATTTTTGGTCACTCAACGCCTTAAAAGATGCTAATTTTGTTTTACTAACACTGAAGCCAACTTACGTCGGTCGTATTCTGTACACCGTCATTGGCCGCCGCTGCAGTCGACCTTTCATTGGCGATTCAGTTACTCACTCGTATTCCTTGCAATGCCCAATGATGATGATGGCGCTTGAGGTTTTAGGGCGCATCGACTGCTGCAGGTCATGCAGCGCCCAAATGCCCAAATAACAATAAAGTTAGAGCATATACCCCGCCCCCCTGCAATGCCCAAATACCAGGGGTTATGTTCTAAATTCCCTCTGCTGTTTGGTGCCGAAGTGAGTGGCTCGTGGCTTTTTCCGGTCGGCAAATCCTTTCGACATCACCGGATCAAGATTAGCATTAAGCAAAAAGCAATCCATGGCCCGCAAGCGCCAGTGCATGGCCAGCTCGCTAGACCCAGCGCAGAGACCAACCTCTTCACAGCCAGGCCAAGAAGGAACTCTCGGCCTGGCCGGAACCAGCGCAGCAACCGGTCCCATGACAGCCGGGGCACCAGCCGACCTACACGAGATTCCACAACGGCATGTTCCACCAGTCGGAAAAGCCGATTAAAGACCTGCACCAGCAAAGACAATGGCAGGAAACTCCCGCTATTGGTGCCATTCTTACCCGACGGTAGTTGACAAGCGATAACTGTAGGGCGGAACAGAGGGCTCGCACTTACATTTCGAGACTTTAGATGATTTAAGTGGCCCATCGTTGAGCTTCAGTATTGATAAGAATGGCAACGCAACTTGTACATAGAATGAAACGAAGTGAGCACGCTAGACGCTGGCGTTCCAAAACGAAGTGAGAACACTAGACGCTGGTGTTCCAAAACGAATTAAGCACGCTAGACGCTGGTGCTCCAAAACGAAGTAAGCACGCTAGACGCCGGTTGTTCCAAAACGAAGTGAGAACGCTAGACGCTGGTGCTCCAAAACTGCTAGCGTTGCCTCATACGTGCAGACCACCGAGCGGCATACCCGGCATTTCAGGGCAAACTACCCGTCGATGCCAGTTGCCTCACATAGGCTTTTTAATTACACTGTTATAGCGTTTGAGAACAGACGAACCGCCCCTTGATGCCAGTTCCTTCACAAAGGATTGACTCACGCAGATGTAGGCCTATAACTAAGAAGGGGAACAAACACAGCAAGCTGTGTCCTCATTCTGAATGTACACCACACATGTCTGTACATACTCTGTTTTACCCTTAGACTATCAAAAGACTGTGAAAGCAATGTATGTCCCATGTTCAGCTGCACTGAACCTCAAAGTACAGACTACTTGGACCCTGCTTAGCTGGTTCAGTGTTTTGCGGCAGACCTGGGCCACTTTCCCGCTCGGCGGTGTGCTTGGCCAAGCGTGCGCGCGCACTCGCGCACACGCACAAACATTATATGCACACGCACGCACATTATATGCACAGGCACAGAAACAGGTACGACCGTGATCACACCCACAAATCTCAGCCCACACGCAAGGTATATCTGTTGGAAATCAGCAGAGGCGCGCAAAGAATCTGCTTCTGAACTGATGACGCGGACGTTACACACGAAACCATATTATATCATAGATGTACAGATGTACTTCATCCAGCATCAAAAATAGTTGGACGCCCATGCCAATAGGTGGCATACAAGACAACAACATGAGGGAATCATACCAGGCTGATCACTATAGAACGGACCGTTTAACGACCACGGCCATCGTGGCTGCAGAACTGATGACTTCAATACTACCTGGGGGATGACTGCTGATTTGGACTACAGCATGCCGGTCATCTATGCAGGAAGATGCGGTCCAGGAATTTGAGGCATTTGCTGCGGAGAGGAATCATCCCGCTCAAATGCTATCGCATCACTCATGCTAGACACCTGCATGTAGTTATGTAGGCAGAAAACGGCCCAGCAGGATCAACAGGAGCCTCATGTCTTAGCATGTGCAGCCCGAGTGCGTCGGCAAAGCACCCGCTTACCTTCTTATCACCTCTGCCGCTTGTTAGCGATCAGTTTGGTGAGCCCCAGTGGTGTCAGTCGTAGCTTTGATGCTAATGATTTGGGTGCATTGTGCCCGATTTTTTTGGTAAAGACGATGGGCCTTGAAATGCCAGTTCTAATTTGATTTCGTTTGGTACCGTAAGTGTTCCGCTCATAAGGAGCCGACAGAACAGCAGCGTGCATCGTGGGCGACGCGTCACGCAGCAGAGTAGAATACGTGCCTTCTTAGTCTGGTGTTGCAGACTCAACCTGCGCCCGGCCTGGGGTCTGAGACAACCGCTCCCGGCGGCGGGGGGGGGGGGGAGGAGGGGGGGGGGGGGGGAGTTGGCTTCCCTCTGTGGGATCTCAACTTCCAAACATCGTAAGAAAGATACCGTTGTGAATGTCTCGTCAAATCATGAAAAATACACACCAATTTTTTACCTTAGGTCAAATGGAATGTCACCAGAAGTCACGAAAAATGGTCGTTCTCAAATGTGCAGTTAAAGCACGTGTTGATACGTCAAGACAGATATTGAGGTCACAGAAGTAAGCGTTAAGATTGCTGCGAGTCCGCTCAGACCATCTTTGCCTCCCACAATGGTCAGATCTGGCCCGGTCACCGTTCAAAACTGGTCTGCCAGTGGCCTACAGCAATGATTTATTTTGTTTCTTTTACAATGCGCTTCTGGCCAGGTTTTTATCAGGTGCGGCTGTGAGCCAAGTATTCCAGGCACAAAATACCACCATAGGCTGACCTAGAGGTCAGTTGAGGCCAACTTAAGTCAAGTTCGTAAGCCATCCAAATACAAAATTGTAATGTTCACCGGGTCCAAGTGACCAATGCAATGCTTTTCTGGCGTCGGAAATGGTGTGTTGTACATCTACAGGTACTCAATATCGCAGAACTCTTGTGCACGCTGTACGTAGTCCCTTTGATGCTTGGCAATGTATTTGTAACAAACTGAGAACACGCACATCGGTACATAAAATTATATGCCATCATGTTCGCACAAACGACATAGAGGTGGTTACACGCATCGTGCTGGTTCATCTAGCTTCTCCGCAACTGACAACATAGGCCGGTGACCTCGAATGATCTCATATCGTATTGCATGTCCTCACGTGACTTACTGTGACCTCATTATGCGTTTGAATGATATCACAACATGTCTTCAGAGGAACGGTCAAGTTCAGTGCCAAAACTATCCGCTGAAACTGCTTATTTTGACTTAGTTTGTTTTGCAGAGGACGACCATAGAAACAGGTCATGACCTAGGTCAACGTCATGAGCTTTATGGTTATATGATGGTTACGCGTATGAGTTTATACTTTTCCTTTTATGCAAACACCGAAACTGTACAAAAATACGTGCAAATTTGCATTATTTAGGAAAATAGCGAGCATTGACCTAACCTCAGGTGACTGACCCAGCTGGTTTGGAAAAATATAAACTTAGCGAAACGTGGGTACTTTTGCGTTCTATTACTACAGCAAGTTTGAACAATGGGGAATAATGCACAAAAAGCCATGCGTGGTCAAAGTGTTTTAGAAGTTGACCTATTCCACCTGACCTTGGTCACTGATCTTGGCCGACCAAAACTTCCACTTTTCATACAGACTGGCAAATTGACAGATAAACAGGTCATGGCAATTTGAGGCTGACGCGAGCGTTCGTTTTTTAGCTGTGCTCGAAAAACCGTAGGAGGGGTAAGCTAACTTCCCCCGCCCGGGCACGGCTTAAAACACACAGTCCCATATTAATTCTCTCGGAGTTTTTCCTTTTAGAAAAGTAACACAAAGCTCAGCGCGCTCCGTAATTTGCAGCAGCTTGCAACAAGCTTGGCGCAAGCTCAGCGTGTCACCGCGTCTTTAGTAGTTCCAACTTGCCCTTACAAGCTGTGCGTAATGGAATTGCCCAAATCATCGACTCACTCTGTTTCCAAAAGGCCAAATGACCAAAGCCCTCCATACCGTTCAAAATGCGTCGCCATGATATGGCTTCCTTCAGATAATTGGAAAGTTATGAAGTATGCCTAACCCTGCCTGAAGAAACCTAACTCTCCCCGAATAAACGTAGACTTAAATCTACATAATAGACGGACTAAAGCTTAAACAAAGACGTTAGCAAGCTGAAGAAGAAAAACACGATCAGTGTTGACATCAGCAGTCTCAAACACATAGGTCAGTGTTTGCATATATTCATATATTCATATATTGCAGCAAAGCATATATTCAGCTTTTTCCACATTTCCTTTCTTAAACGCGCACACTAAATAACACCGTGGATGAGAATGGAGACTATGTAAACTATGCCCTATGCTATGTAAACAGGTGATGAACACCATCATGCTCCAGTGCATCTCAAATGCACGCCCCATCTGCTTTCACGAAGATAATACATCACACGGGGGACCTGCAAGCCATCTTATCGTTCGTGAGAGCCTCACATTGGCTCCAGCTTTTCAGGACAGTATGTGCGCAACAGGGAACAGTGCGTCTTGGCCGCCAAATGCCAGCTCATGGGCCCTCAGCAAGTGCGCGACGCCTCAAAGGCAAGCAAGCTGTGGCCACATCGCGGCAGTCAGTAGAAGCCGGGTCTGGAGTGCTCGATGGTGCAGCGTTTGCAGTACTTCTTTACCGTGCGGCAGCCCTCGAGCGTCACAGCCGAGTCCTGCACGCTGACCTGCCGCAGGCCGCGGCAGTGGAGGGCGACCAGCCTGACCCCCGCGTCGCTCACCATCTCACAGCCCCTGACGCTGAGCCTCCTCAGGTCCGGGCAGTGCTGCGCGAGCAGCCGGAGACCCAGGTCGCTCGCGTCACTCCTGCCGACGTCGAGCGCACACAGCCGTCGGCAGCCGCGCGCCACCCGCCGCCAGCGACGCGTCGCCAACAGTTGCGCAGCCGCGCACGTTCAGGTAGCGCAGACGGCGGCAGCTGAGCGCCAGCTGCGCGACGCCAGCGTCCGAGACGGTCCGGCAGTGCGCCAGGCTGAGGTGGCGCAGGCCAGGTCCGAGCGGGGCCAGCCGGCGCACGCCCACGTCCGTTATCCGGGGACAGTCGGCCACGCTGAGCTCGCGCAGAGCCGGACACCGGCCGGCCACCAGGCCCAGCGTGCCGTCTGAGGAGGAGAGGCGCACGCTCAGTCCGGCCGGTCAGCTGAGCAGGCTGCAGCGCTATGATTCACCACCGCATCGCCGGTTGTGCGGTAACAGTAAACGCCTACGCACACACTGTCATGCAGCACGCTCGCCTGATTAGTCAACTTATCGTACTCATCGCGCATTCCAATTGCGGTAGTATTCCCGTTTACGGAAGCAAGAGATACGCGTCATCGGTGTCACGAGGAATACTGAACAATAGTTGCCAGCGCGCGGCACCACAGTGGCAATGTTCCTATTAAGTGTATTGCAGCTGGACGTCCACCGAGCGGCGCGCTTTCGGAGCCGCCCGCTGCGAGGAAGGGCGTACCTGTCAGCTGGTGGCAGCGGCGCAGGTAGAGCCGCTCCAGCTGCGGGCAGCTGGCGACCGCAGCGCGCAGGGCGGCGTCGCTCAGGCGGCCGCAGCCGGACAGGTCAAGGTGCCGCAGATGCAGACGGCCGGCCGCCGAGCTCAGCTGGACACAGGTCAGCCGGTCACATCCTGTGAAAGTGGGTCCGGTCAAGTCATGCAAACAGCACAGTTTGAGTGTTTCTTACCGGCAGGGAAGCAAGCGTTCTCGGAGAACCGTGTAAAGAGTAGCACCCATTGTGCCTGGGTATCATTCATTGCCTTCAGGCTACCAATTTTGCATTTTTGGTCGGGCAATAGCAACATAGTTAGCAACATTCGGCGTCCGGGAGATCGTGATTTAAAATTGAAAGGCAAGCCATAAAACTGCGAGCCACAGCAATGCCAAATGGTGTAGTTCCAGACCACGAGTCGGCTCATTCATTATCTAATAGGGCCCACACCCTTTAACTTCCCCTTCAGAATGAGCTCATGTCTACTAAAACCGGCCGTAATGACAGTCACGTCGTGCCAGTGCACACTGTCATCTCCACGTGAGGCTGCTCTGCTAGCCCGCCACCGCCTCACTGACCAGTCAGGTCCAGATGCTGGAGCCGTGAGCAGCTGCTGAGTACGGCCGTCAGCGCCCGGCTGCTGATGGCCGTGCAGCCGCGCAGCTCCAGCCGGCGCAGCTGCGGACAGCGGTGCGCCAGCTGCGCCAGGCCGGCGTCCGTCAGGCGCGAGCAGCCGTCCAGCCGGACGCGCAGCACGGCTGGGCAGAGCGCGCCCGGCTGGCGGCGGCCCAGCAGGCGGAAGATGTGGCCGAGGGCGCCGTCCGGGTCAGCGCAGCCGCCCGTCAGCCTGATGTCGGTCCAGAGGCACGGCTGCCAGGCCAGCCGGCGCCAGCGCCGGCAGACGCGCGCGCACCGGCTCAGCTCGTCCGCCGACAGATGCGAGAACACGCGTAGCGCCAGCTCGTCCGAGAGACGGACGAACGGTGCCGGCCGCCGCGGGCCGTTCAGTCTCCAGTCGGGTGAAGATGAAGTCCGTGCTGGGAGGCGCCCCGAGCGGCAGCCGTCGCGGCCAGTCCTCCGGGCAATGCGCCGGCACCACGGCACGGTACACCGGCGCGGGGGGAGAGCTGGGCCGGGCCGACTCTAGAGGCGGCGCTGCACGTGCCGCTGACGACTGCCAGCCGGGATCGCGGACAGGTGAAGTGACGCCAACTGACGCCAACTGTCCCTGCAGGCAAATACGGAGACGACGTTAGAGAGGATGACCAAAACAGATACGCATATTATTTTGATATTCTTGACGCATCTAGCTTGGCACAAGTAACGAGTGTAGTTGATGCGCCCCAAAGCAACAAGTATATCTACAGCTAGCTGTCATCAAGAAAAAACATTCATCGCCAAAAGGCCGACAACTTAGGGTCCGTTATCAGCGCGCACCAACGTGGCCGAAATAATTTCATGATCCATAAACTCCGGACATCGAGTCCAATCTACCACAACGCCTGCATTACCTGAAAATTGCTGACAGATGGCGGTCCACGCCCGACCCAGGCCCGCCCGCGGATAGTCTTGTGGTTGTAGACGGATGGTGACAGACGCTCTGCCCAGTCTTCTGCGGTGTCATGATAACTTTGAGTAGCGCGACTGCCTGGAATCCGTGCCACTCCCACGCAGCCTGCCGGCACCGTCTCCGCGGTGCTAGGGCGGCGTGACGCCGACGGCTCGACCTCCACCGCGGCGCTCGAGTCTGTCGAGACGGTCGAGAGGTCAGGTGCGGTACCCACAGCGAGTGACCTCAGGCGGAGAGAGGCCTGGCGTGAGCCTGCCCCTCCCAGACCGTCGGCTAGCAAATGCCTTACAATGCTTGCAGAGACACGAACGTATGTGGCTCACTATTGGTGCGCAGCAGACGCATTAGCAGTGCACAAAGTAGCAAAGTACATCAAGTGCGCGAAGACAACATTTAGTAGTGTGATAAACGTCGGATGTAGCACAAGTCCATCGCATATCAATCCTCAAGTTCGCAATGAATTTCATGCGTCCCGCACATCTGTAACTGGTAGGAGGTTTGCGCGGATGTCAGCATGTACCCATTTGCTCAGCAATCGCAACAGAACTCACCAAAGGACGTCTGTCTGGAGTGGTTAGCGGAGCTGTAGCCGCTGTCGCAGTGAAGCGTGTTGCTGCACGCCATGCGCTGTCGCAGAAGGCTGTGCAGGCTGTCATGGGTATTGTCCAGGTCACAGGCAGCCATGGCTGCGCGCCTCCGGGTCACTTGGCGAGCTCTCAGCGGGGCCCGTGCAGTCAAGAGGGGCGTCAGACGGGTACTGCCCAGCCCCGCACCCCCCCCCCCCCCCGCACAACCCCCTCCCCGGTCGGCAGCATTCCTCGGCGGCGCTCGGGGGCCGGCAGCAGCAGCCGCCGGGCAGCGGTCGGGCCCTGTTTGTGTCGGCTCCGCCTCGCAAACAGTCCAGCCGCCGCCGACGGAGGGGGACGCACTGCGGGGCCACCCGCGCCACGGCAGGGGACCTCCAGCAGCCAGGTGACGTCACGGGAATTGGCCGGCGGCCGGGCGATTGCGGCGTCCCTTTTGCCTTCTTAACACTCAGGCGACCGGCCGGAAGTGGATTCGCTTCGGAGTTGTTCGTTGAAGATTACTGGCGGCCTACCCTGCAAACGCCTATCCCCCTCTGCCCCCCCCCCTCCCTCCTACCCCCCTTCTTAAAGCGAATGTTCCGCATTTGGGGATATTAAAGCAAGCATGAGATATGATGAAAAAGCTCACTTGTCACTATTGGTATGTTTTTAAGCGGAAAAGACATTGTAGACAGCCCAATTTTTTTTTTTCGTAAATTGGATCCTCAAGGCCTCATTTTTGATTGTGTCATGGAACGTTTCTGTGACGTAGGAGGTGCTGCCACACTGGTCATGCATAATTTCCACGCTAACGCCTACTTGGAGTGCTTCAATCTCCAGCGAGGTGGCCGCATGCCTAATTCAACATAACCTCATTCAAATCCACAGTTGCCAGGATTTCAATGGCCTTACTATCGCGTCAAGCATGCCTGAATGACTTTGAAATAGTCTGCACGAAAATAAATCTGCACATCTTCGCAGGGGTACATCTCAGAAACTAGAGAGTTTTGCATTTGGAAGGTCAGGGGTGTGAACTACAGCGAGTGATCTCCAAGATGGCTATTTTGTTCATAATTCCACACAAGTGTGGGACACCCCTTAAACATTATGACCAGTTGTCTGTTGTGGCAAGAGCTGGACAATCTGCTTTTCTGTTTTGTTTATCACCTTAGGCCTCCATGTATTTTCACCACAAGCACCGGGTGCCGCTCAATTTGTGTTATCAAAGAACTGCTGCATTTTCCGCAACGCTGGCTTTTGCCAGGCTTATTTCCATGTCATGGTCTCGTTGTGTGTTCGGAAAATTATTCCAAATTGTTTGCCTGAAGAGCAGAAAAAGCTGCCGAGAAAAAGCTAAGAAACAGAAAAGGATAACTGCCACGACGCTACAGACTGCCAAGTCTTCAAACCATTGCAACAGACTTGCAGTCCACGCTGCTGAGCTTGATGATGGTCCATAACTATTTTACTAGCTGTGTATTGCCATCTGCTAAGCTAGCCTGCCAACTGCATGACGTCAGACTGATCAGATGATTGGTGTTCTAAATGGACACCACGGCCCACAGGGTAGTATGTAGTTAGTTTAGATAGATAGTAAGTATGTGCGGATAAAATGTCGTTCATGGTCTTCCACGGCACACATACGATACAAGCAAGTCATAAACCCAGTCATATTTAGTAGACGGTCGGAAAATCAAATATGTTTGTTCTCTTGATTCCTGACACCAGCTTAATATGATGCAAATACTTTAGGATGCGATGGAACACGTCACGTTCTGTTGTGTTCCGTCATTCAGGCACGATGTCATGCCATGAATATCAAATGCTGTTTTTGTGGCTGTCGGCTCTTCCATTTAATTGACGACACGACATTGCGTTAAGCCTTCTCTGTATTCGTAAGTTGGGGTGAAAACCTGCTGCCTGTGGACCGTGGTGTGTCATGTCTCGATCCCAATAGCCATGCATTCGTGAATAAAACGTCGTGTGACGCTTATGCTTGCTCGTTCGGCTCCTGATATGTATATCCCTTTTATAACGTCTTTAACCCCTGAAATATCAGAATGTTATCAAGTTATGCGAGAGCTAATTAATAATATACACGACGTCGAAGGATTAATATCAGATTTAGCGGTATGCGTCTCACCACTGAAACATCAGAGAGCCAACAAAGCCAACTAATAAAGTAAGTCGTACTGACGTCCCACACGAGTGTGGTGCAGTGCAGTAAAGTGCAGTAAAGTGAAGTGTAGGGCATTGCAGTGCAGTGCAGTGCAGCGCGTTTCCTGGACAGCGTCTGGCAGCTCGGGTTGCGCCGCCGCTCGACGCTGACGCTACCAATGGAAGCCCAGCCGGGGCGCGCGCCACGGCCCAGCTGTCGGCCAGGAATCCACTCCACCGGGACAATACCGTCACCGGCTGGCGGTGCTCGGGAGGCGGGCCGAGTCACACGCCTCACGTCACCCCTCCCCGCACCTGGTTATCCTCCCCCTCCCACCCCCGCCGCGCCGAGCCGGGCCACAAAAATCCCGCTGTCCCTTCCGGTCGTGCGGGTTAATCAGCATGCGCCCCGTGGGTCGGAATGCGGCGTGCCTTACTGGCGGCGGGTGTGCGCAGCCGATACTGTCCCAGACCCAGGCAAGGGTGCGCTACCCTCACAGACGTAGCCGAAGGCAAGCCACTCTCACAGACCCAACCGAGGGCTAAGCAACCTCACAGACCTAGCCGAGGGCGCACCACCCTCACAGACCCAGCAGAGGGCACACCACCTTCACAGACCCAGTCGAATACGGACCGTCATCGCAGACCCAGGCGAGGGTGCACCACCCTCACAGACCCAGCCGCGGGCGCCCTGCCTTCCCAATCAGCTTTGGAAGTTGGAATGCACAGCTTGTCCTCGTAACACATGGGTGCGGGCTAGCCACACGTAAAAGTGAAAAATCCCGTGAATAGCATTACATCACTGTTCTGTGATCAGTGTCGTAGCTCTCTCGAACCAAATCTTCCAGGCTATGCCCAGTCGGCCACCACCAGTGCGGACTGGATCGTGCCATGGAGCAATGACGACAGTCGTGCAGCAATGATGACAGTCGTGCAGCAATGATGACAGTCGCGTAGCAATGACGACAGTCGCGCAGCAATGACGAAAGTTGCGCACGCCTACCGAGCAGGCAACTTAGTGAAACAAGCGTGTATTTAAATATTGATCGAGTTAAGCACGACCTCCTGGAAATATACCACGGGCGTCGTGCAAGCACCCATACATGAACGGCGAACTGCTGTAAACTTTGCGAAGCTCTGAAGTTCGTCTCCACTCAAATAAGCCTGCGTGACAGTGCGGTTGCCTCAAATTTAGCTGTGTAGTGCAGGATTTACTTCCAGGGCGAGCTCGCTTGCTGGGTTATTTAGTCCTATGCAGTTGCGAAATGTTTGGATACAATCTTGTCAAGGGTGAGATGCTTGCACTCCGAGTTTGCATCAGGGGCACCATAGCTTCTCATTACTAGGGGCGTAGTTTTGCGGACTGAGCTGGGTGGGAGGAGAGGGGGAGGGGTAGGCTTAACAACAAAAATGACTAAACCTACCCTGGAGATACACCGAAAACAGGAATCTTTACCCGGGGGACTGGAGCATAAGTTAAGCGGGGGTTGGGGTGCGGGAGGGCAGGCTGGGCCTCCCATCTGGCTGACAGGCCTGTTATGCCCGTTCTTGTCATCTCTTTGAATCCGCGCAACTCGGGGTCGTTATCTCCCAGAGTAAGTTGGGAGGGGGAGGGGGAGGGGCTGAATCGTGAAAAATAATGAAAGCTACCTCAAAGTTCGTCAACAACGGGTTATTACCCGAATTTTGCCACCGTATGCATCCCCAACTTTCTCACGAAGTTGGAGGAGGGGCTGAAACACAAGTTGAGGGTGGAGGGCTGAGCATTCCCAACTGAAAAGGGGAACTACTCCCATCGTGCCACATTACCAACATATTGTGCCCTCACTGGGGTTTGAAGCCCATTCCCAAAATGCCCACGCGTTCGGGCTATTAAATTTTTAAAACTCTTATGTATGATATTTGTCATACGGGAGCCCATCTTCCTGCGCGCAGCCATAGAAAACTCTGCGTGCTGCTTGTCTACATACATGGGGCACGTTGGTTTTTCCAGATCATCGTGAATCCTGCCATTTTGAAGCTAATTATTTCAAGGAATGTATGCATTAAAAAGTGAACTAAATGTGGCTGCTAAATGCCATCAAAATCATCCTACCGTTGCTCTAAGGCTTAGGAACCCTCAAGGCCAAAGCACCAAGGGAACTCATCATCATCTTGATCTTGGACTTGTCTAGATGAAGTCATTTAACCACGCCCATACTCACCAGCAGGCTCAACGCCCTGGCGTTCCGAAGCACATGTGGGGATTTCATTAGCAGAGTAAGATCGTGCTGACTTACCGGAAGGCCCCACGAACAATGTGGATGGCCCGGGAGCGACCAAGAGTGTCCTGGCCAATCAGCATTTAGATCCCCGTAAACGGCGTACTTCGGTATAATGAGAAGGCCCAATATTAATAGGGACGGCACTTGAGCGACCGAGGGTGCCGCGGCAGGCCAACAAAAAGGCTTCCGACAACAGTGAAGAGCAAACGCTCTCTGAGCAAACGGGTATGCCCCAGGACAGGATATATGACTAGATACCCTTGAAAGATTGAGGGTGTCTTGGCAGATGCACGCATAGGGTTCCGAACAACAGCTTAGGGACCTTCGAGCAAATATGAAGTGTCCAAGACCATTATAGCTGGCCCCTGCGGGGTTAAGAGTGACCGGGTAGGTTAACAGAGAGGGCCCCAACAAGAGTGAAGGGCCCCCCCCTCGCAAATGAATTCGGAGGAAAAGTCTCCTAGATCAATGAAGACGACCACTTATGATGATCAAAATATCAATGAAGACCTCACGCGCCCTGGTGCCTTAACACGTGCCCGGGTGGCCAGCTGAATACCTTTAGCTCTTGTGGGGGGGGGGGGGGGGGGGCAATTTGCCCACCCCCCCTTGATGTCTCGGGAACTAAGGTAGCCAGAGACATCAAATTTACAGAGTGTGCTGACATGTACGTTACCTCTCTTAGGTCGAAATTTGA